AGTTTGTGCATATATTATGACGACATTTTGTGACGTTTTTGTTTGTTTTGGACTTCAGTGAGTTTTTTTGGAATTGTTCGAGCACACAAACTTTTTTCTTGAGGCAAGCCAAAGTCGGTAGCCGAAGTCTACACCGCTTTGTCTGTGATTGGTCAACAGTAGGGATTCTTCAGTAAAGTATTTGTTGTCATTCAACGAGAGACAACTCATTTTCCTTCACATTTTGTCATTTAGAAATACTGCACCAAACATCTTAGTTAGATGTAAAATTGCGCGAATAAGATCTCCTTGGAAAAAACGTCAAAATTAATGACAGATTTCTTGAGTTATCTTAGATTAATTCAGACTATTTTGAGGATGTGTATACTGGCTATGGTGTCTCGAAATGGACAAACAGTACTATTGCTGCCTTTTTAGCATTTTTCAAGCGAAGGTCTTTTAAGGCAGTATGGTTTGGTTCGCCTATCCGACTTCGGCTAGCCGCCAGCCGAACTGTAGCATGCTGACGCCTTAAAGCACTCCTCCCCTTTAAATCACTCTGCCATGAAATGCAAGACTTTAAAGGCAGCAGAGAGAGAGAATGAGTGTTGTGTCACCTGAAGGTCATGCTAGATGGTCTAGTAAATTGGTTAGTGTTGTAATGTCATGAGATGCCTTGTTGTCCAAAATGGAAAATAGATTTTTGTATTATGGATTTAATCAAAATCTATGTTCTAATGTACAATATATAGGCTGCATTTGGATCGATATTGTATGCATCAAATTCAGAATACAGACTGAAATAAATATGAATGATTATTCAGCTTAATGTTTAATAATATTGAGCAGGCTTTGGATGGTTTCAATGTGTTATTTTAACGTACAGAGGTAGGCTCCAGTGAATCTTAACCACTGCCTTGTTCGTTCATCTCACACAAGTTGATATTCAGTCTGCACTACATGGACCCCAGTCTCTGAGCAGGACCTGTGAATAAATTAGCAAACATTTTGTAGTGGGAATGGATGGGAAGCTGTCTGTGTTCTCTGACATAGTATGTAACAAAACCATTCTAGATCCAGGTGACTTCCCCCAGCGAGACTCTGTCAGGGGATTTAACAGATCACAGAGCTGAGGGAAATGGCTCCCGGCTGGGGTGGGGCCTTGACTAATGTGTTTCACTAGGCTAGCCCCCACTCTACTCTGCTGCTTTCTAGTGAAGCCTCACTTCCACACTGATATACACAGGGATTAGTCCCCTCAACTGAAAATATAGTAAGAGGCAAAGAGCCCCCAGCCCCCTTTCAACCTGACTGATTCTGACATCAAATCAATACACTTTAGTATCTGCTGTTACTTTATTCAATTAGTCCATTTCATAAAGCAGGCATAATGGCCCTAATGGAGGACATGTTGAGAGGTCAGATGGCAGCAGTAGAAAACCAATGGCGTGATTGCAGGAGTCAATTCGCCCATCGTAATTATGCCTTTTAACTGATTCATGGCCCCTGCATCCATCCCTTTTTTATTTGTTATATTTAACCTTTATTTAACTAGGCAAGTCAGTTAAGAACAAATTCTTCTTTACAATGACGGCCTACCAAAAGGCAAAAGGCCTCCTGCAGGGACAGGGGCTGGAATCAAAAATAAATAATAATATAGGACAAAACACACATCGCGACAAGAGAGACACCACAACACTACATAAAGAGAGACCTAAGACAACAACATCAAATCAAATCAAATTGTATTGGCCACACAAATACAAATTGTATGCGCCGAATACAACAGGTGCAGACATTACAGTGAAATGCTTACTTACAGCCCAACATAGCATGGCAGCAACACATGACAACACAGCATGGTAGCAACACGACATGACAACAACATGGTAGCAACACAACATGGCAGCAGCACAACATGGTAGCAGCATAACATGGTACAAACATGATTGGGCACAGACAACAGCACAAAGGGCAAGAAGGTAGAGACAACAATACATCACCCGAAACAGCCACAACTGTCAGTAAGAGTGTCCATGATTGAGTCTTTGAATGAAGAGATGGATATAAAACTGTTCAGTTTGAGTGTTTTTTGCAGCTTGTTCCAGTCGCTAGCTGCAGCGAACTGAAAAGAGGAGCGACCCAGGGATGTGTGTGTTTTGGGGACCTTTAACAGAATGTGACTGGCAGAACGGGTGTTGTATGTGGAGGATGAGGGCTGCAGTAGGTATCTCAGTGTCACGACCGTCTATGAAATAGGACCAAAGCGCAGCGTTGGTAGCGAACATATTGATTTTAATGAAATACACGAGAATACAAAACAAAACACGATCATGAAGTCCTCAGTGACAACGACTGAACATAGAACAAAAACCCACAAACACAAGGTGAAAACACACAGTTTAAATATGGCTCCCAATCAGAGATAACGAGCCGACAGCTGACACTCGTTACCTCCGATTGGGAGTCATTTGACCAAACACAACCAATGACAAACCAACCAAACAAAACACAACCAAACGAACACACCCTGGCTCAAAATACAAAGTCCCGGAGCCAGAGCGTGACAGTACCCCCCCCTAAAGGCGCGGACTCCGACCGCGCCTACACCCCAAATAGGGGAGGGCTGGGTGGGTGTTGCTCCTCGGAGGCGGCTCCGGCTCCGGGCTTGACCACCACCCTACTACAATCCCCCCGTAGTGCCCCCAGTCCGATCTGACCCAGTTAGCTGGATCAGGACTGCCGACGCGCACCCCTGGCTTGGCGCGTGAGGCAGGAATGTACCGGACCTGGCAGACGATACGCACCCTTTGCATGGTGCGTGGAGCCGGAACGGACCTCACCGGACTGACGACTCCATTCCCTGGCCTGGTGCGAGTAGCAGGAACGGGCTGGACCAGGCTGACGACTCGCATCCCTGGTTTGGTGCGAGTGGCAGGAACAGGCCGGGCTGGGCTGTCGACGCACACCACTGACTTGGTGGGAATGGCAGGAACAGGCCGGGCTGGGCTGACGATGCGCACCACTGACTTGGTGGGAATGGCAGGAACAGGCCGGACCGTACTGGGGACACATGCCACTGGCCCCACGCAGGGATCAGGAACGGGCCGGACCGGACTGGGAACACACCCCAGTACCTCTCGCCGTGCCTCCACACATTCCTTCCCCTTCGTGACCAGTGGCCCCCTTAACCTGGCGGCCTTTTCTGCCAACCTACTGCACTCCTCTACCCCGTACTCCTGCTGCCCCGACGTCGTGAGCCCCCCCCCTAAAAATTTTCTGGGGGTCTCTCCTCTCCGTGGACCAGGCCTCTATAGTCCTCTCCCAACCTTCGCTCTTCTGTCTCCACCACTCGTCATCCAACTCCTGGAAACGCTGCTTGGTCTCGTTGTGGTGGGTTTTTCTGTCACGACCGTCTATGAAATAGGACCAAAGCGCAGCGTTGGTAGCGAACATATTGATTTTAATGAAATACACGAGAATACAAAACAAAACACGATCATGAAGTCCTCAGTGACAACGACTGAACATAGAACAAAAACCCACAAACACAAGGTGAAAACACACAGTTTAAATATGGCTCCCAATCAGAGATAACGAGCCGACAGCTGACACTCGTTACCTCCGATTGGGAGTCATTTGACCAAACACAACCAATGACAAACCAACCAAACAAAACACAACCAAACGAACACACCCTGGCTCAAAATACAAAGTCCCGGAGCCAGAGCGTGACACTCAGAAGGGGGGAGTGAGGCCTAAGAGGGTTTTATAAATAAGCATCAACCAGTGGGTCTTGCGACGGGTATACAGAGATGATCAGTTTACAGAGGAGTATAGAGTGCAGTGATGTGTCCAATAAAGAGCATTGGTGGCAAATCTGATGGCCGAATGGTAAAGAACATCTAGCCGCTCGAGAGCACCCTTACCTGCCGATCTATAAATTACATCTCCATAATCTAGCATGGGTAGGATGGTCATCTGAACCAGGGTTAGTTTGGCAGCTGGGGTGAAAGAGGAGCGATTACGATAGAGGAAACAAAATATAGATTTAAACTTAGCCTGCAGTTTTGATATGTGCTGAGAGAAGGACAGTGTACCGTCTAGCCATACTCCCAAGTACTTGTATCCCTCTCACCATCAGTGAAGCAGTGTTGACCCTTAGCTTTCTATGCTGATGAGTAGATACACACACACTTAATGTCAGCACAGATACTGTAAATCGCACAATGTAGAGGGGGAAAGAGAAATGCACTGAGTAGAAAATACATGTGCACTAACCATCCCCTTTCCACTGCAATCACATTGGCAATTTCCTTGATAAGTAGTGAAGGGGCCGAGGCATGGCTTGACGAGTGAAGCAGGGAAGCTGATGATTGCTGGAAATGGTGTGGTGGCCTGATGCTTCTGTCTGTGTGTGGTTTATACATCATCTGGTCAGGACATGCATGGTATTAGGCTGTTTAACACCAATGTATTGTATATTGTCAGAGATTGAGAGTAGCCTAGATAGGGAAAGGGGTATTGCCAAAAGTGAGCGAATTGCTCTGTAAGTGTTGTGCTCTCTAAAATAGAGCAGATCATGTGGATTTGGACTATCGATTAATTGATTGGTGTTTTAAGTGCAAACCCTTTTTAGCCTTTTTTTAGTTAAAGACTAATTGGACACAAAAACAAATTATTCTTCCTTTTATCTAAATTAAGGTCAATTAAGGTTGATAGCATGTCATTATTCAGTTGTCTGTCTGTTTTTATGTATTGTTTGTTTTATCTGTATTCAGATCATGATACACATTACTTTTCAAAATGGGTGGAAATTGGAAAACAGAAATGCAATGAGAACAAAATGGTCGCCTCAGTGATAATGTGTCCCTATAATCATTCCTCCTCTTTCCCCCTGACAGGTTCCAACACAGCCATCAAGGAATAGGACTATGAGGGTGAAGCCCAGCTCCCTTATAGGAAGTAAATATCAGGGCAGATAGAGGCTTGGCGTTTTGTGCAAACACCACAGTTCCACTATGAGGACTTGCTCACTGGTCCTGCTATGGGCGTCCCTGTCCCTCTATGTGGATACCATGTCTATTACCAGAAGGACTGTAGTGGAGATGGGAGAGATGGAAGGAGAGGAGGAGGAGGACCGAGATGGAGGAAAGGGAGGGAAGCTACTGAAGCGTTTCAAACGAGGATGGATGTGGAACCAGTTCTTTCTACAGGAGGAGTACACTGGGAGTGACAAGCAGTACATAGGCAAGGTATGTCCTTTTGTCTTATTGCAGTCGTGCACTTCTGAAAGAGCAGTGTGGGGAAAACCCCACTCTCTGCTATTGTTGAATTCTGGCCTTGACACATAGACAATATAAATATTGAGAAATCTCCCAGAGCGTCAAATGTCAATGTCACTGCCTAGTGGGACCACATCATATCCCCCCCACCAGGATTGGGATTTTCTGATGTACCACAACAGCATACATTGCATGTTTTAGAGGCTGGAGAGAGGGGAGCTACTGAAGCTACTGAGGCCCTGTACCCGGTAGTACCCTGTAGTCTCTCACAGTGAGACCCGGCTTCACAGAGAAGCAGAGAGATAATCAAAGATTCAGAGAAAAAAAGGGCAAAGAGAGAGGGGGGGGGGGGGGGGGGGGGGGGGGGGGGGGTAGAGAGAGAGGAAGAGAAAGGTATTCTGGAGCCACTAGGTATTAGCCCTGGGGAGTGAAGCAGTGCTGTGCAGTGGATTATTTCCATATGCCTTGTAGGAAATGATTCACCTTGTCAGGTCCCTCCTTTTTTTCTCCACCAAGCCTGGCGCTGTGCTGCTATGCATATAATGAGATGTTATCTGTCACATGTGCTTTTCACTGTTCTGTCCTCTCTGATGGGACTGAACAGCCTTGTTGTGTGTTATAGATGTTTAGCCGGACATTGTTTACCACCAACAGCACTGTTGAAATGCATATAAGTTTGCTGTCGTAAAGATGGGACACACACTGAGCATGGTAGAGGATAAAACCCCATTTAATGCCCATTGCTCAGAGTTGCATAATGGCTACTTAGAGGAATAAGAGATGAGATGAGACAGCAACATATGTGCTGAAAGAGGAATTGCAGGTAATATTTGTTACATGTTGGATTTAGGTGATTGAGACATCTGTGGAGGCTACAATCGTTCATCGTTTCTCATGTCAAGGATTTATACCATCTTGTCTTTCTTCTTTTTCAATGACTCTCTCCTTTCTTTCCCTCGATCATTGTGAACTACCGTTTCATTCATGTTCTGAGACTGTCTTGTGCTTTGACATTTAACTAGAAAGGGCTTACTGTGTGTTCTCAATGACAGTGATCAGAGGGCATTGAGAGTGCACTGATGTCAATACTATAATGGCGCCGCAGGAGATGGCTGCCGTTTTACGGGCTCCTAACCAATTGTGCTATTATGTGTGTTTTTTCACGTTATTTGTCACTTATTTTGTACATAATGTTTCTGCCACCGTCTCTTATGACCAAAAAGAGCTTCTGGATATCAGGACGGCGGCATGTGTATATTTATAAACAACAGCTGGTGCACAAAATCTAATATTAAGGAAGTCTCTAGGTTTTCCTCGCCTGAGGTACAGTATCTCATGATAAGCTGTAGACCATACTATTTACCAAGAGAGTTTTAATCTATATTTTTCGTAGCTGTCTATTTACCACCACAAACCAATGCTGGCACAAAGACCGCATTCAATGAGCTGTATAAGGCCTTAAGCAAACAGGAAAACGCTCATCCAGAGGCGGCGCTCCTAGTGGCCGAGGACTTTAATGCAGGGAAACTTAAATCCGTTTTACCTAATTTCTACCACCATGTTAAATGTGCAACCAGAGGGAAATAAACTATAGACCACCTTTACTCCACACACAGAGATGCGTACAAAGCTCTCCCACGCCCTCCATTTGCAAATCTGACCATAATTCTATCCTCCTGATTCCTGCTTACAAGCAAAAATCCCGCTATGCCCTCCGACGAACCATCAAACAGGCAAAGCGTCAATACAGGACTAAGATTGAATCGTACTACACCAGCTCCGACGCTTGTCGGATGTGGCAGGGCTTGCAAACTATAACAGACTACAAAGGAAAGCACAGCCACGAGCTGACCAGTGACACGAGCCTACCAGACAAGCTAAATCACTTCTATTCTTGCTTCGAGGCAAGCAACACTGAAGCATGCATGAGAGCATCAGCTGTTTCTGGACGACTGTGTGATCATGCTATCCGTAGCCAACATTCACAAGGCCGCAAGACTAGACGGATTACCAGGACGTGTATTCCGAGCATGCGCTGAGCATACAAGTGTCTTCACTGACATTTTCAACCTGTCCCTGACTGAGTCTGTAATACCAACGTGTTTCAAGCAGACCACAATAGTCCCTGTGCCCAAGAACACGAAGGTAACCTGCCTAAATGACTACAGACCCATAGCACTCACGTCGGTAGCCATGAAGTGCTTTGAAAGGCTGGTCATGGCTCACATCAACACCATTATCCCAGAAACCCTAGACCCACTCCAATTTGCATACCGCCCCAACATATCCACAGATGATGCAATCTCTATTGCACTCCACACTGCCCTTTCCCACCTGGGCAAAAGGAACACCTACGTGAGAATGCTATTCATTGACTACAGCTCAGCGTTCAACACTGTGGTGCCCTCAAAGCTCATCACTAAGCTAAGGACCCTGGGACTAAACACCTCCCTCTGCAACTGGATCCTGGACTTCCTGACGGGCCGCTCCCAAGTGGTAAGGGTAGGTAACAACACATCTGCCACGCTGATCCTCAACACAGGGGCCCCTCAGGGGTGCATGCTCAGTCCCCTCCTGTACTCCCTGTTCACCCATGACTGCATGGCCTGGCATGACTCCAACACCATCATTAAGTTTGCCGACTACACAACAGTGGTAGGCCTGATCACCGACAACGATGAGACAGCCTATAGGGAGGAGGTCAGAGACCTGGCCGTGTTGTGCCAGGATAACAACCTCTCCCTCAACGTGATCAAGACAAAGGAGATGATTGTGGACTACAGGAAAAGAAGGACTGAGCACGCCCCCATTCTCATCGACAGGGCTGTAGTGGAGCAGGTTGATTGCTTCAAGTTCCTTGGTGTCCACATCACCAACACACTATTATGGTCCAAACACACCAAGACAGTCGTGAAGATGGCCTATTTCCCCTCAGGAGACTGAAAAGATTTGGCGTGGGTCCTCAGATCCTCAAAAAGTTATACAGCTGCACCATCGAGAGCATCCTGACTGGTTGCATCACTGCCTGGTATGGCAACTGCTCGGCCTCCAACCGCAAGGCACTACAGAGGGTAGTGCATATGGCCCAGTACATCACTGGGGCCAAGCTTCCTGACATCCAGGATCTCTATACCAGGCGGTGTCAGAGGAAGGCCCTAAAAATTGTCAAAGACTCCAGCCACCCTAGTCATAGACTGTTCTCTCTGCTACCGCACGGCAAGCGGTACCGGAGCGCCAAGTCTAGGTCCAAAAGGCTTCTTAACAGCTTCTACCCCCAAGCCATAAGACTCCTGAATAGCTAATCAAATGGCTACCCAGACTATTTGCATTGATTTGATTTGATTGATTAATTCAATGAATCTCTGTTTGAAATTTGCAGCAGTGTATCTATATAGACAAAAGTACTTGGAGAGATATACTGTTTGACAGATTAATGGGTATGTAATAAATGTGTGTACTAAATACTATTACAAACCATGTGGTATGATTTTTACTCCATATACAAATCAAGGTGTTGTTAGCAAAGCAAGACCATATTATGGAAAGATGGAATGAGTCACTCACTACTCAGAGACCATCAGTACCCTACCCGTCACCTCCCCTACCTGTCACTCACACTCCACCTCACAGCCCTAATGCAAACTGTAAATCTGGTGTTTCGCAAGCTGGGGTCAATTCCATTTTCATTCCTGTCAGTTAAATTAGATAATGTCATTTCCATGTAAAAGGACCCATGAGCACCAACATGTGACGTTCATAGGAGCATGTCAAATTGGGTGTCACATGTAAGCTAAGAGTCTATATTTTTTTGAAAAATAGGAGCATATATACATTTTTCAAACATTTCCATCTAAAAATTGTTGAATTAGCAAAGGCCCCTACCAACTAATATAAAAATATACATTTTTATGCCTTCTGTAAGTTTAAGAAACATTGTCTTGTGCCTTGATATTCTGTTACCAAACACCCACATATTTTAAAGTTATTTTTTAATTTCTCTCCCTCATAAGGAGGAGGATATTAAAAGTTATCAGAAGTAACAAGTAAAGGTAGACCTATCAATTAGTTATAGTGTTTTTACTGATATAAAGGTTGTTTATTAATTAGTAAGTAATTAAAACTCAAATTGTTGTGACAAAATCGGTTACGGAATTTCTGCAATTGAATTGGGAAATTATAGTAGTCACAAACCACAGTTGGGTTCACAACTTTGGACAGCACAGTACAGTACAGTATAGCACAGTAGAGTACAGTACAGTAAAGAAAAGTAGATTATAGTTCAGTACAGTACAGAAGAGTAGAGTTCAGTACAGTACACAGTAGAGCACACGAGTTGAGTACACTATAATGTACTGTACTTTACTGTACTCTACTGTATGGTACTGAACTCTACTCTACTCTACTGAAGTCTACTGTACTATACTGAACTGAACTCTACTCTACTCTACTCTACTGCACTGTACTCTACTGTACTGAACTGAACTCTCCTGGACTCTTCTACAGTTCTGTGTTGTGCTATACTGTACTCTACTGAGCTCTACTGTGCTGTGCTTTGATGTCCAAACTTGTGAAACATAGACGTCTATGATTGGTTCAGATTTGGTCCGATCCGGACCAACCACATTTGGTCTTGTTTGGGGGCAGAGCTCACTAAAATAATAGCCAGTGTGTAGAATAATACCCAAATATGCAAAGTAGGATATTGCATATTTATTCCTTTGCCTACCTATTTAGGATACATCACCATGAAGAGAATCACATTTATATCTATAATTATGCATTTCTGTGTAGTACAGATCAGGGACCCATGATGAAATTCCGTTACCGGGTGTAAATCCACTTCACTTACTGTAGTTCAATAACCAAAATAGTTTTTTTCAAAGTCAATGTGTCATGTCATAGCTGACACCATTCTTTCTGCAGACATCGTTGAATCTTAATTGGGAGCAGATATTTAACAGAGTTTTTGGAAAACGTGGACACATAACTGGAGGGAGATTTTACCTAAAATCTATACCCAAATTTTGCATCTGCACAGTTCATCCAGTAAATGTGTTTTTGTAAAATTGTTTGTGTAAATTGTTAAAAGTAATCATTGTGCATAGAATTAGTTGTATGGTTTGTTAAACTTTGAAATCAATGGGTCTCAGTGCAATTGCGTTACTGTGGAATTGCCCATAAGGAATTTCCCCATTGGAATACTAGTCCAATCCCTAAGTGGACTGTTGAATGCAGTTATTGTATCGTAGATACACTACGTGACCAAAAGTATGTGGACACCTGCTTGTTGAACATCTGATTCCAAAATCATGGCCATTAATATGGAGTTGGTCCCCCCTTTGCTGCTATAACTGCCTCCACTCTTCTGGGAAGGCTTTTCACTAGATGTTGGAACATTGCTGCAGGGACTTGCTTCCATTCAGCCACAAGAGCATTAGTGAGGTCGGGCACTGAAGTTGGGCAATTAGGCCTGGCTCGCAGTCGGCGTTTCAATTAATCCCAAAGGTGTTCAATGGGGTTGAGGTCAGGGCTCTGTGCAGGCCAGTCAAGTTCTTCCACACCAATCTCGACAAATTGTTTCTGTATGGACCTCGCTTTGTGCACGGGGGGCATTGTCATGCTGAAACAGGAAAAGGCTTTCCCAAACTGTTGCCACAAAGTTGGAAGCACAGAATTGTCTAGAATGTCATTGTATGCTGTAGCATTAAGATTTCCCTTCACTGGAACTAAGGGGCCTAGCCCCAACAATGGCACTATGCATTCGGGGAGGTAGCGTTCTCCTGGCATCCGCCAAACCAAGATTTGTCCGTCGGACTGCCGGATGGTTAAGTGTGATTCATCACTCCAGAGAACGCGTTTCCACTGCTCCAGAGTCCAATGGCTGCGAGCTTTACACAACTCCAGCCGATGCTTGGCATTGGTGATCTTAGGCTTGTGTGTGGCTGCTCGGCCATGGAAACCCATATCATGAAGCTGCCGAGGAACAGTTATTGTGCTGACGTTGCTTCCAGAGGATGTTTGGAACTCGGTAGGAAAGTTGCAACCAAGGACAGATTCTTTTTATGAGCTACGCGCTTCAGCAATCGGCGGTCCCGTTCTGTGAGCTTATGTGGCTTACCACGTTGCGGCTGAGCCGTTGTTGCTCCTAGACGTTTCCACTTCACAATAACCACTTACAGTTGACCGGGGCAACTCTAGCAGGACTGAAACTTGACAAGCTGACTTGTTGGAAGGGTGGCATCCAATGACTGTGCCACGTTGAAAGTCAGTGAGCTCTTCAGTAAGGCCATTCTACTGCCAATGTTTGTCTATGGAGATTGCATTGCAGTGTGCTCGATTTTATACACCTGTCAACAACGGGTGTGGCTGAAATAGCCGAATCCACTAATTTGAAGGAGCGTCCACATACTTTTGTACATATAGTGCAGTAAAAATCTGGTATTTGCCTTGCTGGACCAATTTCTCCCAGGAGACAAATATGTTGACTATTCTTTTGATTTTCTATGGCAGCTCCAATCCGACATGGACAGGGGGGATGGAACCCTGAAATACATTCTAAGCGGGGACGGGGCTGGAGACATATTTACCATTGATGAAAACAATGGTGACCTCCATGCCAATAAGAGACTGGACAGAGAGGAGAAGGCCTTCTATACCCTCCGAGCCACCGTGGTCAACAAGAACACAGGCATGAAACTGGAGCCGGAGACAGAGTTCATTGTTAAACTCCATGACATCAACGACAACGAGCCCAAATTCACTAAGGAGCTTTACACTGCCAGAGTACCTGAGAGGTCCAATATAGGTATGTGCTCTTTCACTTTAATTTGACATGTCAAGGTCATGACCTTTCAATTTACGTTTTAAATCCCTTTGATGATAAAATATCAGTACGATTTCAAGGTCAATGGTGCCTTAAAGTGTAAAATATGTATTTTCTTTTGTCTTAGAACCATGAATGGTTTTGACAGTTGATGTGAGTTATTATTCTTCCTCAGCAATTAACAAAACCTTTTTTATCTTCCATTCTCAGGTACTTCAGTCACCCAGGTGACAGCCACGGACGCAGACGACAGCATGTACGGGAACAGCGCTAAACTACGATACAGCATCAGCCAGGGGCACCCGTACTTCTCAGTGGAACATGACACAGGTCCGTCTGTCTGCCTGCCTGCCTTCATGTCTTTCTGTCTGTCTGTCTCTCTGTGCATCTGTCTGTCTGAAAAAGCAGCAATGCTGTTTTATCCCTCAAAGCAATTATTATTACAATGAAGCGAGAGACGGTAATGCAATGTAATGTTCAGAGTCAGACTTCCAGAGCCATTACTATTCTTTGCCCCCATTTTCCAAAGTAGACTGTAACATTGAATCATTTCTAATGTGCACTCTGGAACATCTCCCACTGCTGGTTCTGTGTTTAAACAAAAGGGAAATGGAAACAAAAAAGCCTCCAACTGGCAGATTATTGTGTGGCTTAACAGCGATATGGTTTATCCCTGATGTGACATGGACGATGATGTCCCCGTCACACCAGAGGACATGAAATCCTACGAGTTTTGGAAAAAATTGATGTTTCTGAGGGTTAATCTGAAAACAGTCATATTATAGATTAAAGAACACATTCAAACAAGCCAAGCCAGGCCAGACAGTATTGTGTAGGATGGATGTTGGGTCAGTTGCCATTTTCACTATCCCATCAAAATAATTAGGTTAAATACAGTAGTAAATGTTTCTTGTTAAATCCTACCATGAGGTCTTAGCAATGTGAAACTGTTTTTATTTTCTGATGTGGTGACCATTTCTTTGCAGGAGGTCACCACCTCTCTTATACCAGTCATAAACATTATAATTACCAATGGGAGTAATGTAACTAACTAAAGTATTTGCTGATACATTAGTTAAATCAAGGACACCTACATAAATTAGGTGACTCTCAGACTATACCCACATCACTTAAATCTGTTTGACATGGTGGCACCATGAGAAATCCCTACAGCCCTACAGGACCAGAGAAGGAGAAATGTGCTTAGCTAGCTAATTAACAATAATTCTCATTATATTATATGACACATTAATATTGTGTTCCTCTGGTTTGTCCTCAGGCATCATCCGGACAGCCCTGGGGCCTGGAGAGATGGACCGGGAGAAGCGGGAGCACTACCAGGTAGTGATTGAGGCCAAGGACATGGCGGGCCAGAGGGGAGGCTTAACCGGGACAACCACGATCAATATCACCCTGACCGACGTCAACGACAACCCCCCACGCTTCTCCCAGAGTGAGTACTGAGTACAGTGACTGGTATTATACTGGTGCTTGAAGTAGTAATTAGTAATGGTATTCATAGTAGTCCTAATATTAGTGGTAGTGTCAGTGAGTGACATGTTGGGAACAAGAATCAGTTTTTTAGCCGTGTCATTGTGCTGTGTGTATGAGTGAAGGCGTCAGCATACTTCAGTTCGGCTGGAGCCTAGCTGAACTCGGCTAGCCGAACCGAACGAGTGTGCTCGCATACTCCCTTAAAAGACCTTTGCTTGAAAAATGAGAAAAAAGCGTCTATAGTACTGTTTGTCCATTTTGAGACGGCGTAGCCAGTATACGCTTTCTTCAAAATAGTCAGAATTAATCTAAGATAACTCAAGAAATCTGTCATTAATTTTGACGCTTTTGCAGAGTAGATCTTAGTCGCGCAATTTTACATCTAACTCAGATGTTTGGTGCAGTATTTCTCAATGAAAACATGTGCATGAAAACGAGTCGTCGAGACTTTATTGAAGAATCCCTACTGTTGACCCATCACTGACGAAGGGGCGTAGACTTCGGCTTCGAACTTCAACTCGCCCAAACAGACGAAAAAACCCTCACCCAAGTCCAAAACGAACAAAAACCATCAGAAAATGACATCATTATACATTATATGAACAAACTCTACCGAACTGTTTACCTCTCTCTCTCTCTCTCTCTCTCCATGCACACACATTTACACTCTGTCCTACAAATTGAAAACACTCTGGAATCTGTTTGACAGATTGCTTTTGGCATTACTATTCTGTTTAAGTCCAATGGTTGGATGGCGGAAACTAAAGGGAAAAAAAAGCTCTGAACCACTCCACCTTCACATCTCTCTCTCCCACTTAGTCAGTTAATGACACCTTACAGCAGGAAGCTTACACCACCAGTCAGCACCATGCTTGGTGGAAACATACTATCTAATTGGTCACCATGAGCAGAAGGTTAACACCACTAGCACTGCTGAAGTGCAGTGATACAGATTCACACACAGTGTCTTCAGAAAGTTTTCACACCCCTTGACTTTTTCCACATTTTGTTATGTTACATTCTGAATTTAAAATGGATTAAATTTAGATGTTGTGTCACTGTTCTACACACAATACCCCATAATGTCAAAGTGGAATTATGTTTTTACACATTTTCACAAATTAATAAAAAAAATAATAGCTGAAATGTCTTGAGTCAATAAGTATTCAACACTGGCAAGCCTAAATAAGGTCAGGAGTAAAAATGTGCTTAACAAGTCACATAATATAGTAAGTTGCATGGACTCACTCTATGTGCAATAATGGTGTTTAACATGATTTGTGAATGACTACCCCATCTCTGTACCCCACACATACAATTATCTGTAAACTCCCTGAATCAAGCAGTGAATTTCAAGCACAGATTCAACCACAAAGACCAGGGAGGTTTTCTAATGGCTCGCAAAGAAGGGCACCTGTAATATCCCTTTGAGCATGGTGAAGTTATTAATTACACTTTGGATGGTGTATCAATACACCCAGTCACTACAAAGATACAGGCGTCCTTCCTAACTCAGTTGAAGGAGAGGAAGGAAAATGCTCAGGGATTTCACCCTGAGACCAATGGTGACTTTAAACCAGTTACAGAGTTAAATGGCTGTGATAGGAGAAAACGTAGGATGGATCAACAACATTGGAGTTACTCCACAATACTAACCTAAATGACAGAGTGAAAAGAAGGAAGCCTGTACGGAAACAACATATTCCAAAACATGCATCCTGTTTGCAGTAATGCACTAAAGTAATACTGCAAAAAATGTGGCAAACCAATTAACTTTTTGTCCTGAATACAAAGCATTATGTTTGGGGCAAATCCCACAAAACACATCACTAAGTGCCACACTTCATATTTTCAAGCATGGTGGTGGCTGCATCATGTTATGGGTATTCTTGTCATCGGCAAGGACTAGGGAATTTTTTAGGATAAAAAGAAAAGGCAAAGTCCTAGAGGAAGATATGGTTCAGTCTGCTTTCCAACAGACACTGGGAGACAAATTCAACTTTCAGCAGGACAATAACCGAAAGCGCAAGGCCAAATATACACTGGAGTTACTTACCAAGACGACATTGAATGTTCTTGAGGGGCTTAGTTACAGTTTTGACTTAAATCGGCTTGAAAATCTATGGCAAGACTTGAAAATGGCTGTCTAGCAATAATCAACAACCAACTTGACAGAGCTTGAAGAATTGTAAAAATAATAATGGGCAAGTATTGTACAATCCATGTTTGCAAAGCTATGAGAGACTTACCCAGAAAAATGCAAAGCTGTAATCGCTGCCAAAGGTGATTCTAACATGTATTGACTCAGGGGGTTAAATACTTTTCTAATCAAAAATATTTTGTTTTCCATTAATATTTTACTTCCATAAATGTTTTACTTTGACATAACAGAGTATTTTGTGTAGATCGTTGACAAAAAAATGACAATTAAATCAATTTTAATCCCACTTTGTAACACAACAAAATGTGGAAAAAGTCAAGGGGGGGTGAATACTTTCTGAAGGCAAATGTGTTAGTGTCAGAAACATAGATGTGTGGATGAGGAGCTGGCACAGAAAACAACTCACTCACCATGCCAGAGGAAGACCAACAACCTCTTCTATTTGTGACAAGCTTATGCAATTCTGTCTCATGGTTCCAGGCCATTCTGGCTCTGTTTCGTTAACATACTTTCCTTCTTCTCTCCAACATAATTACTGACGCAAATAGTTTTGAGTTTTTGTGAAATCGCAGTAAATGTTGCCGATATTCCAATCTAAAGTTCTGTAGATCTCAAGTTCATACAGAACATTCTTGATTTACATGTGTCTGTTTATGTTCATGTTCCAGGTATATATCAGTTCAGCGTTCCAGAATCCATGAAAGCTGGAACTCCTGTTGGGAGAATCACAGCAGTGGATAAAGACCTTGGGAAGAATGCAGAGATGTACTACAACGTTGTCGGCGGGGACGGCTTGGGCATGTTCGATGTCATCACAGACAAAGACTCACAGGAAGGCATCATTACTGTTGGAAAGGTAACAGCCGTTACTCCTGTAAATGACATCTACTGTATAGTCACACATAACTATAGGACCTGCTTTGTTAGACCTGAGGTCATCAGACCATCATAAACTCTATTACTGTATCTGTTATTTCAAAACATCCGTACTGCATCAGTGCAGAATATGACTCCCCTACCATGTTCTATTGTCCCTGTGTCCCTGTCCCTACAGCCATTGGACTATGAAAAGACCCGGTCCTACACACTGGAGATCCAGGTACAGAATACTCAGACCTTGGACACTCGCTTCCTGGGGTACCTACCCACCAAGGACATGGCCACAGTCAGGATCGGTATAGAGGATGTGGATGAGCCTCCTCTGTTTGAGAGAGCCAGCTACGTGATGGAGGTGAAGGAGGATGCAGCCGTGGGTATTGCAGTAGGGTCTGTCAGGGCCACGGACCCGGATGGATACAACAGCCCTGTCAGGTTAGTTAGAGCACTGCTTTGCTTTCCCTTTAGCCCGCCCACTCATTTCTTCCTACCACCCACAGGTAATGGGGAGATTGGTTATAGTCATTTGTATCATTGGTCATTTGATGGATGTTAAAGGTTATGTTATAGTAATTTTGGAACTGTAGAATAATTAGAGTTGAATAGGTCATCTCATTAAATTGGGAGTCTAGAAGAAGTCGTGTCCATAATGAGCGAAGCGCAAGGTGTGTGTTCTGCACCATCTCCACACACACTCTTTTTAGTGAGTTCTTCTCAATGTCCAAAGTCTCTTAATTACCACTCCTCATGGAAATACACTGAAAGGGCATCTAGTATAAATGTAATAACAGGATCATTGCGTAATCTGCTGAATGATGAAACTGATAGGGCTGGTCTGGTCTTGTGCCACTGTTCAGAGCTGTTCCCTCTCCAGGACAGGTATGAAAATAGAGTGATATAAGTCCCAATGGCTGTTTAGGGCAGATCCTCTGGGCGTGCAGTATTCCGAATCAACTGCTGTTATCATACAGAGAGGGCAGAGAATCCCCGGGATCACCCATACACACAAAAAAAATTATGCACGCATGACTGTAAGTCGCTTTGGATAAAAGCGTCTGCTAAATGGCTTATTATTATTATTATTATTATTAGAATGGAGAGTGGATTGAAAAAGTATTAAACTTATTGAGCGAAAAGGGGGTGTCAAGTACAGTAGGAGAGGTTGTTGGGGAGTGGTAGAAAATAGAAGAAGTGTATTGTTTTTAAAGCCTGTAGTAAACCCTCTTGAATATTTGACAAACCTCCATGCTTTCAATCATTGTCTTACATTTTGTGTATCTATCGTACAGGTACTCCATTGATCGTCGCACAGATCTGGACCGGCTTTTTAACGTGCATTCTGGGAATGGGTCCATATTTATCACAAGACCTCTCGACCGAGAAGAAGCTGCCTGGCACAACATTTCTGTTATCGCAACTGAGTTCAGTAAGTCTTTCTCAGGCAACTTTATCATGCACATGAATTCACAATACAAACAGTTCAATTATTATATTCTGCCCTGTTTTGATACATAAAAAAATATATATATACAGTGGGGAAAAAAAGTATTTAGTCAGCCACCAATTGTGCAAGTTCTCCCACTTAAAAAGACGAGAGAGGCCTGTAATTGTCATCATAGGTACATGTCAAGTATGACAGACAAAATGAGATTTTTTTCCCCAGAAAATCACATTGTAGGATTTTTAATGAATTTATTTGCAAATGATGGTGGAAAATAAGTATTTGGTCAATAACAAAAGTTTCTCAATACTTTGTTATATACCCTTTGTTGGCAATGACACAGGTCAAACGTTTTCTGTAAGTCTTCACAAGGTTTTCACACACTGTTGCTGGTATTTTGGCCCATTCCTCCATGCAGATCTCCTCTAGAGCAGTGATGTTTTGGGGCTGTTGCTGGGCAACACAGACTTTCAACTCCCTCCAAAGATTTTCTATGGGGTTGAGATCTGGAGACTGGCTAGGCCACTCCAGGACCTTGAAATGCTTCTTTACGAAGCCTCTCCTTCGTTGCCCGGGCGGTGTGTTTGGGATCATTGTCATGCTGAAAGACCCAGCCACGTTTCATCTTCAATGCCCTTGCTGATGGAAGGAGGTTTTCACTCAAAATCTCACGATACATGGCCCCATTCATTCTTTCCTTTACACGGATCAGTCGTCCTGGTCCCTTTGCAGAAAAACAGCCCCAAAGCATGATGTTTCCACCCCCATGCTTCACAGTAGGTATGGTGTTCTTTGGATGCAACTCAGCATTCTTTGTCCTCCAAACACGACGAGTTGAGTTTTTACCAAAAAAGTTATATTTTGGTTTCATCTGACCATATGACATTCTCCCAATCCTCTTCTGGATCATCCAAATGCACTCTAGCAAACTTCAGACGGGCCTGGACATGTACTGGCACTGCAGGATTTGAGTCCGTGGTGGCGTAGTGTGTTACTGATGGTAGGCTTTGTTACTTTGGTCCCAGTCTCTGCAGGTCATTCACTAGGTCCCCCCGTGTGGTTCTGGGATTTTTGCTCACCGTTCTTGTGATCATTTTGACCCCACAGGGTGAGATCTTGTGTGGAGCCCCAGATCGAGGGAGATTATCAGTGGTCTTGTATGTCTTCCATTTCCTAATAATTGCTCCCACTGTTGATTTCTTCAAACCAAGCTGCTTACCTATTGCAGATTCAGTCTTCCCAGCCTGGTGCAGGTCTACAATTTTGTTTCTGGTTTCCTTTGACAGCTCTTTGGTCTTGGCCATAGTGTAGTTTGGAGTGTGACTGTGAGGTTGTGGACAGGTGTCTTTTATACTGATAACAAGTTCAAACAGGTGCCATTAATACAGGTAACGAGTGGAGGACAGAGCAGCCTCTTAAAGAAGAAGTTACAGGTCTGTGAGAGCCAGAAATCTTGCTTGTTTGTAGGTGACCAAATACTTATTTTCCACCATAATTTGCAAATAAATTCATTAAAAATCCTACAATGTGATTCTCAGGATTTTTTTTTCTCAATTTGTCTGTCATAGTTGACGTGTACCTGTGATGAAAATTACAGGCCTCTCTCATCTTTTTAAGTGGGAGAACTTGCACAATTGGTGGCTGACTAAATACTTTTTTCCCCCACTGTATATATATAATTATTTATTACAGCCATTATTCATAATTGGTTTTTGATGTGTATGTTTTCTTTACAGACAAACCTCTGCAGACCAGTCGGGTGCCTGTTTATATCCGTCTTCTAGATGTCAACGACAACGCACCCACGTTCGCCTCTTTCTACGAGACGTTTGTTTGTGAAAAGACCAAGGCTGGACAGGTACGGAACACGGATCTTCCACTTAGGTCCCATGACAGATAGTGATTAACATGAATTCATTATTCTCGCTGCTATAATTACTCCATATCATTGTGACATCTAGAGGTTCTACCATAGGTTATATGCCCAAGAATACCACAAATGGGGATAAAGTATTGTGATGAGTACTATATTCCTCTGGGGAAGTGATTGGTCTCCAGGGTCTACTTTCTGTGGCAGCTGATGAGATGATCTGTCAAGGCAGGTGACAGTAGCTGTCACACATCAAGGACATGTTTCAATAGGTGCCCACCACATGTCTATTCCTCCCTCTCCTTTTATCCCTCCTTCTTCCCTCTGTCATTATTCATAATTAATTCAGAGGCCCATCCTTGGTTCTTCTGTGTTTGTGTTTGCTGCCCTCCTGTTTACCATGCAAGGTCCCATGAGAGTAGTCAATACAATCATCCACAATGGATCTTCCCCAATGGTTATTTATTTATGTCATTAATTAAATAAACATATCAATCTGTCTATATGCATGGTCTCTAGCCTACAAGTTTAGCCTCCAATTTTCGTCAATATCGCAAGCCTGGAAAACCAAAGAGTACCTTGCTATCTGACAGCACACATTTTCTATTTAAAATATGAATCCGTTTTTGTTTATCCTGTAAACAGAAGATCCAGACGGTGAGTGCTGTGGATGCAGATGACCCTGCAGGTGGACACAAGTTCTTCTTCAGTCTGGCTACGGAGGGAGCTTACAGAGGCAACTTCACAGTCAGAGACAATGGAGGTGAGTACTGTACTGTAGGATCTCTTTGGGTCTCTATCATACACAGTCAACATCTGATATTATATGTAGGTCTCTATCACACACAGTCAACACCTGATTATTTATATTTTTTATATTTTTTATTTAATTTTTTTATCTTTAACTTTGCATTGTTGGAAATGGACCTTAAGTAAGCATTTCACTGTTAGTCTACACCTGTTGTCTACGAAGCATGTGACAAATACAATTTGATTTGATATTATAGTAAACATGTTATAATGCCTAATAGCATACATGTTTATGGCACCTTGTGGTTAATCCAATGAATCCACGCTGGAAGACAATTCTGCGATCTGTGTGCAATCAGTCACCCTTCATAGCAACATAACGCACTATAATGTGGCTGTTACATCCGTCTTTAACATGTGCGTTAAATGTATTTTGTTTCCCTCTAGATAACACAGCTGGCATCCTAACCCGGCGCTCCAGCTACAGCCGACTGCACAAGAGCGTCTACCTCGTTCCCATGGTGATCACAGATGGGGACTTCCCCATGCAGAGCAGCACAGGGACGCTGACGGTGCGTGTGTGCACCTGCGACCGCGAAGGCAACATGGAGCTGTGCAACGCCGAGGCCCAGACCAGCTCAGCTGGACTCAGTACCGGGGCCCTGGTGGCTATCCTGCTTTGTGTTATCATCCTCCTCAGTGAGTATAGCTGTCTGTATGTCTGTCTATCTGTTTATCTGGCTGGCTGTCTGGCTGTGTGAGTATATTGATTGAGTCCTCATTGAGTATAGCTGTCTGTTTGTCTGGCTCTGGCTCTGACCATCTCCATCTCCTAATTAGTCATTCACATGAATGTACAGTATGGAAAATATCTCTCTTTAATAAGAAATTCCACAGGTTCTAGTGTAGTTGCTATATTTTAGATTTTCAATTTGACCTTTCTGTATACAGTGGGGGAAAAAAAGTATTTAGTCAGCCAACAATTGTGCAAGTTCTCCCACTTAAAAAGATGAGAGGCCTGTAATTTTCATCATAGGTACACGTCAACTATGACAGACAAAATTAGAAAAAAAAATCCAGAAAATCACATTGTAGGATTTTTTATGAATTTATTTGCAAATTATGGTGGAAAATAAGTATTTGGTCAATAACTAAAGTTTCTCAATACTTTGTTATATACCCATTGTTGGCAATGACACAGGTCAAACGTTTTCTGTAAGTCTTCACAAGGTTTTCACACACTGTTGCTGGTATTTTGGCCCATTCCTCCATGCAGATCTCCTCTAGAGCAGTGATGTTTTGGGGCTGTCGCTGGGCAACACGGACTTTCAACTCCCTCCAAAGATTTTCTATGGGGTTGAGATCTGGAGACTGGCTAGTCCACTCCAGGACCTTGAAATGCTTCTTACGAAGCCACTCCTTCGTTGCCCGGGCGGTGTGTTTGGGATCATTGTCATGCTGAAAGACCCAGCCACGTTTCATCTTCAATGCCCTTGCTGATGGAAGGAGGTTTTCACTCAAAATCTCACGATACATGGCCCCATTCATTCTTTCCTTTACACGGATCAGTCGTCCTGGTCCCTTTGCAGAAAAACAGCCCCAAAGCATGATGTTTCCACCCCCATGCTTCACAGTAGGTATGGTGGTCTGTGGATGCAACTCAGCATTCTTTGTCCTCCAAACACGACGAGTTGAGTTTTTACCAAAAAGTTCTATTTTGGTTTCATCTGACCATATGACATTCTCCCAATCCTCTTCTGGATCATCCAAATGCACTCTAGCAAACTTCAGACGGGCCTGGACATGTACTGTGTGGTTCTGGGATTTTTGCTCACCGTTCTTGTGATCATTTTGACCCCACGGGGTGAGATCTTGCGTGGAGCCCCAGATCGAGGGAGATTATCAGTGGTCTTGTATGTCTTCCATTTCCTAATAATTGCTCCCACAGTTGATTTCTTCAAACCAAGCTGCTTACCTATTGCAGATTCAGTCTTCCCAGCCTGGTGCAGGTCTACAATTTTGTTTCTGGTGTCCTTTGACAGCTCTTTGGTCTTGGCCATAGTGGAGTTTGGAGTGTGACTGTTTGAGGTTGTGGACAGGTGTCTTTTATACTGATAACAAGTTCAAACAGGTGCCATTAATACAGGTAACGAGTGGAGGACAGAGGAGCCTCTTAAAGAAGTTGTTACAGGTCTGTGAGAGCCAGAAATCTTGCTTGTTTGTAGGTGACCAAATACTTATTTTCCACCATAATTTGCAAATAAATTCATTAAAAATCCTACAATGTGATTTTCTGGATTTTTTTTCTCTCAATTTGTCTGTCATAGTTGACGTGTACCTATGATGAAAATTACAGGCCTCTCTCATCTTTTTAAGTGGCTAACTAAATACTTTTTTCCCCACTGTATCACCTGAATGTGTACACATACGAGTGTGCGCACACACACAGGCACTTCTAAGAAAAGCCCTAAATTCCCCAGCCTATTTCACTCTTGGCTGTGTACTGTAAACGTGTTATTTATGTAGGATCAAAACAAGTCCAACGGGATTCAGATTGTAGACAGGATAGTAAATCTACAGGACTGGCAGTAAAAATACCCCCTGATACACCAGGAGTTAGTTTAATGAAAAATAATGTAATGCGATTACCCCAATATATTACTTCAGCACCATTAACTACATATAATGTAAATGTATTTATTAAACATGGCACCATTTCCTGGTTATTTATAAGTTACTAGTTGCAATCTCATTGCAATGTTAAAATAAAATAAAAATCAGCATCTCAACTGCAGTCGTTTCTAAATTGTTACTGGGCTGTAGTACTGGGCTGCATGAAGCAGCCCGTGTTCTAATACAGTGTTCACTGCAGCATGAGCAATGAGATAAGATGAAATGAACCAGCCCTGAACAGCAAACCTCTTGCTAACGCTGCCTCTCTCTCTCTCCATCTCTCTGTGTCTATCTCTGTCTCTCTCTCCCTCTCTGTTTCTCAGTGATCATAGTTCTGTTTGCGGTACTGAAGAGGCAGAAGGAAAAGGAGCCTCTGATCATCTCTAAAGAGGACGTGCGAGACAACGTGGTCAGCTACAACGACGAGGGGGGCGGAGAGGAGGACACCCAGGCCTTCGACATCGGGGCTCTGCGTAACCCAGAGGCCATCGAGGAGAGCAAGCAGAGGCGGGACATCATCCCCTCGGACACTCTGTACCCCCCTCTCAGACGGACAGCCATCCCGTCGCGGGACAACGCCGATGTCCGGGACTTCATAAACCAACGGGTGCAGGATAACGACAATAATCCCACCGCCCCCCCTTATGACTCTCTGGCCACATATGCCTACGAGGGAACCGGTTCAGTGGCTGAGTCTCTCAGCTCCCTGGGGTCAGCTTCCTCTGAAGGGGACCAGGACTACAACTACCTCAGTGACTGGGGGCCCCGCTTCAGGAAACTGGCTGACATGTACGGGGCTGAGGACAGCGACCGTGACTCCTAACACACTACTTGACCTGTTTCTGGGGCCTGAGCTAGGAGGATGAACTATGAACTATAACTGACTGTAATCTCTCTTCTCAAAAGATGAGGACACATGTTGCAGGCCAAGTTTTTTACAAAGTGCCCTTTTATTTCTTCCAACGCAACTATAGGCCATAGCTCTTTCTGATGGCCAGACCAGACAGAGCTGTGTGGATTATTTTTGAAACTATTTTACTGCAAGGCCGACCTTTCCAGAGAAGGTGAACTTCAGTTTATGATCCTGAGTTCAATGTCAAAAGAAACTATAAATTGATACATTTATTTGTATTTTCTGGTTACATCTGTATCTATATGCTGCATTGGAAGGGATTACACATGACTCTGAATACTTCTGTGTATTCTTGAGAGATATCTCCTATAGTTTCTCTGTACTGTTACCGAAGTGCAGTATGTTGGACTTTGTATATTTTAGTGTTTTGGTGAAATGGAACTTTGCTTTTCCAGGAACAAGGAACTGGAATCTCTTAAGGTAATTCCTCGAACCTTATTTTGAAATGTCCAAATTCTTTAAATAGAAGAAAAGCCCAGGACCAAAATAAAACATTGCTTCATGAATGTTTACGGAATTTAAGAATGGGCAGCCACTCTGTACTTACTCCATTCCCCTATCAAACCTTCTGTTGCACAGAAAGTTCACTATTCCAATTTGAAGTTGTTTGTTTATGTTGCCAATCATTTATTATGTGATCAATCCATTTTTTGGAATTGTATCCAAGAGGAACTCTCTGAAGACACAAGGACTGTATGTGTGTATCTCTGCACGTGATGATGACTGAAGAAATGGATGGAGATGAGGTTTGATGCTCCAAGATTTACAGCGAATTTCAGCAACGTCTGACAACATCGACATAATCCATCATAAATCAATAATGGTCATATTAGACATGTTTATGGTCCCAGCGATATATACACATATGTCTTACTTACATAAATTCTGCACAAAAAGCCTACAAGGTGAATGGGCATACCATTCGTATTATCTTACATAATAGTACTTACCAAGGAAAACAATAATTCTTAAACACAATATCCGACTCATGTATTTGATTAGCTAACACAACATGTAGACTCAGCATTGGATTTGATGCGCCGTCACATGGCACGCGCCGTCACATGGCACAAAGTACTTATTTAACAGTTTTAGGAAGGACGACTAAATATGTCTCATATGAAGAGTTCAGGGAGTTTTATCTGTAGGTGGAGAGAGATTACTTCATATTATTGTTGGATATGGCGCTTCTATGGACAGTAGGGAAGGGGGTTTAAAACATTTCCATTAATGCATCACACAACATGTATGATGACAATGGCTGGCTTCTTTACAGAGAGAAAGCATTTACATGAAGAATTACCTAACATCCTTGAAATGAACCAAAACTATAGAAAGCATCTGAAGTAAATATTTCATTTAGCCATGTGTTGTCTAATTGTTCTGTTCTCTCTGTGACAATATTGAATGATAATGCTTTTCACTCTCTGAACTCATATCATACTAAGTAGCTAAGCAAACATAAGCAATCACTCCAAAACAACTCTATCATTAAAGAAGTTAAGACGGGATCCTAAGGATCAATTACAGCTGATCTTCGACTTTGAAAGTGTTTGCGGATAATTATGTGTTTTATTTGGGTACATCATTCTGATTTGACATCAGAACTTTTCTCTGTAAAATTGTTTGACTAAATAATGGTATATACTGTGGTTGAAACTGTGCTTTGTGGCAGTGATTTGGGAGCGTAGCTGATGTTCATGATGTACTACTCTGCTTTTTATGTTGTGATTTTCATTGTACCAAATATTTATAGGACACATGCTGAATTAATATTGTTGAATCACAAGCATCCAACCAATATCGCTGTTTTTGATGTATTTTGGAGTTGTACGACTAAATGTGGACACTACAGGCTACAGTACGTCATACTATGATGTATTAACAATTGTCACATTTTACCATAATAAACCTTTCCAGTAAACTACAAAAGAAATGCTAATCGAATTACATTAAAAGTGAAATTCAGCAACTCTTGGAGTACATTTGAAGAAAACTGCTTCTGGTCCTCCAAGACCTGCTGAATTTCCTCTTAGATTCAGTTTGCTCCTCAACTCATGCAACTTGGTTGGAGAGCGAGGTAGTGGCAGTATTCCTTTCCCATTGCATCTAATTTAATTAACTCGGCTACAATACTACTGTATCATCACACAAACTGGTCACTGACATCTTTCTCAGACTGGCTCAATTTCAGTACCAATGGCCTACTTTACTGTACTCATGCCAAATGACTCACTCTGGCTCTCTCCCAGCATTACCTAAATCTGTGATTGAGATCTGGAGATCTCTCAGGACTGGAAACCTGATTTAGAGAGAAGGGATTCATTTCTAAATTGTTATAGGTTTAGCAGATCAGATGTGAGGCAGATGGTGACATTTAAGACAATGCCTTTGTTAATTGACTCGTACCAGGCCTCTCTCTCCCCCTCTGTAAGTACATGTCCTAGTACCTCATCTGATGGTGATGGCTAAATTTGCCTCATACAATCGTAGATGAGCAGCCAATGCTGAAAATGGTACATGTGGAAGTTAGCCACCCAGTTCCATTGTCGAAAACATCACAAGGGATTAAAGGATCATTTTATTCAACCAAGAACCATATATTAATATTTAGCCTAGCTGCTCATGTTTTAATCATTGATGTTTATTTTCATTCATGTGGTTTTTCACCAAAATGAAAGAACAATTGGAGATAACATGTCATGTCAATGGCATCAGCAACTCTGCAAAGAAGCCAACCATTGTCATCATACATGTTGTGTGATGCATTATTGGAAATGTTTTAAACCCCTTTCTCTACTGTCCATAGAAGTGCCAGGCATTTGCAACATCTGCCAGGAACTAAAAGGAGAAAGAGACTCACATGAGTTTCCACACATTAAATACCATGCAACACAATGAGCTGGCCAAAAGCACATCAACTCTAGCCAACATATCACATCAAATCAAATTGTATTTGTCACATACAAGTGTTTAGCAGATGTTATAGCGGCTGTAGCGAAATGCTTGTGCTTCTAGCTCCGACAGTGCAGTAATATCTAACAATTACACAACATTTACCCAATACACACAAAAAAGTAAGGAATGGGATTTAAGAATATATACATACAGTGGGGAAAAAAAGTATTTAGTCAGCCACCAATTGTGCATGTTCTCCCACTTAAAAAGATGAGAGAGGCCTCTAATTTTCATCATAGGTACACGTCAACTATGACAGACAAATTGAGATTTTTTTTTCCAGAAAATCACATTGTAGGATTTTTTATGAATTTATTAGCAAATTATGGTGGAAAATAAGTATTTGGTCACCTACAAACAAGCAAGATTTCTGGCTCTCACAGACCTGTAACTTATTCTTTAAGAGGCTCCTCTGTCCTCCACTCGTTACCTGTATTAATGGCACCTGTTTGAACTTGTTATCAGTATAAAAGACACCTGTCCACAACCTCAAACAGTCACACTCCAAACTCCACTATGGCCAAGACCAAAGAGCTGTCAAAGGACACCAGAAACAAAATTGTAGACCTGCACCAGGCTGGGAAGACTGAATCTGCAATAGGTAAGCAGCTTGGTTTGAAGAAATCAACTGTGGGAGCAATTATTAGGAAATGGAAGACATACAAGACCACTGATAATCTCCCTCGATCTGGGGCTCCACGCAAGATCTCACCCCGTGGGGTCAAAATGATCACAAGAACGGTGAGCAAAAATCCCAGAACCACACGGGGGGACCTAGTGAATGACCTGCAGAGAGCTGGGACCAAAGTAACAAAGCCTACCATCAGTAACACACTACGCCACCAGGGACTCAAATCCTGCAGTGCCAGACGTGTCCCCCTGCTTAAGCCAGTACATGTCCAGGCCCGTCTGAAGTTTGCTAGAGTGCATTTGGATGATCCAGAAGAGGATTGGGAAAATGTCATATGGTCAGATGAAACCAAAATAGAACTTTTTGGTAAAAACTCAACTCGTCGTGTTTGGAGGACAAAGAATGCTGAGTTGCATCCAAAGAACACTATACCTACTGTGAAGCATGGGGGTGGAAACATCATGCTTTGGGGCTGTTTTTCTGCAAAGGGACCAGGACGACTGATCCGTGTAAAGGAAAGAATGGAGCCATGTATCGTGAGATTTTGAGTGAAAACCTCCTTCCATCAGCAAGGGCATTGAAGATGAAACGTGGCTGGGTCTTTCAGCATGACAATGATCCCAAACACACCGCCCGGGCAACGAAGGAGTGGCTTCGTAAGAAGCATTTCAAGGTCCTGGAGTGGCCTAGCCAGTCTCCAGATCTCAACCCCATAGAAAATCTTTGGAGGGAGTTGAAAGTCCGCGTTGCCCAGCGACAGCCCCAAAACATTACTGCTCTAGAGGAGATCTGCATGGAGGAATGGGCCAAAATACCAGCAACAGTGTGTGAAAACCTTGTGAAGACTTACAGAAAACGTTTGACCTGTGTCATTGCCAACAAAGGGTATATAACAAAGTATTGAGAAACTTTTGTTATTGACCAAATACTTATTTTCCACCATAATTTGCAAATAAATTCATTAAAAATCCTACAATGTGATTTTCTGGAGTTTTCTTTCCTCCATTTTGTCTGTCATAGTTGACGTGTACCTATGATGAAAATTACAGGCCTCTCTCATCTTTTTAAGTGGGAGAACTTGCACAATTGGTGGCTGACTAAATACTTTTTTTCCCCACTGTACATAATGAGTAGTGCAAGATATGTAAAAAAATGTAAAGTGACTAGTGTTCCATTTCTTAAAGTGGCCAGTGATTTCAATAGGCAGCAGCAGCCTCTAATGTGCTAGTGATGGCTATTTAACAGTCTGATGGCCTTGAGATAGAATTCTCTCAGTACCAGCTTTGATGCACCTGTACTGACCTCACCTTCTGGATGATAG